TAGCAGCTACAACTTGACCCTTCTGGACTGTAACAGCTACGACCTTGACCTTTCGAGAAAACTACAGCTACGACTTCTATACCTGACTAAGACTCCTACTCGACAGGTCTACAAATCGAACCCCTGCTACCTATAGACCCTACGACGACCTACCGACTGTTACAAATACACAGGTCGCGGGTTCAACTCTAGGGGTCGACACAAATACTGTACACAGGTAAGGTGGGGACTAGGGATCGAGCCCTGGAATCTGCATCAGCTACTGCGAAGTGGTGAATACCGTTTCACTCCCGGCGGCCTAAATTCGAGGTCCTCCGAGAATAACTCAGTCCAAGGCAGGACCTTTACCTTTCTGATCTCTTTCGTAGGCTCTAACGATATCGGGAGTTGTCTCTAGAAATTCTGATCTCGTGAACCAGTGGTCATCCTCCGGTTCCTGACATGCAAACCGGACCTTATGCTGCTTCTGTGGACGACCTCTACCTATTGTCCTAAACACAGCTTCACCTACAATGCCGTCAATGTCATATCTTTTGTCCATGTCCGGAGGGATCATGGACCGTCTAGAGGGAAACTGCTGACTTGTGACACACGGCAGTAACTTTGAGGCGTGAAATACAGGGTAGGTGTGGAGGTGTGCTGGTATCTCTGCGGTGTAGGACGGTCCATCCTCTCCGCCCTTAACTTCCAAAATCGGCCATGGTCCTCTATATGCGGGCAGTAACTTCTGCGAGATGTTCTCCTCAAGTGCAAACTCTTTAGACTTGACCCAGGCCAGGTCGCCTACCTGAAACTGCGACGGGCAACGGTGCTTATTAGCCTGTTCTATCATGCGGTGCTGGTCCTTCTTGAGGTTCTCAACAACAGTCGCTATCTCTTTCTCGTGTTGTATCGCGAACTCCCCGGTACCGGGCGGTAGCCTATGAATCTGATCCCGGTTTAGTCCCTCAAACGGTCTACGCGGTCTAAAGGACTTGTGCAATTCGTTGGGAGTGTGACAGGTGGACAAATGCACGCTGTTATTGTATGCACTGGCTACCTTGGGTAACATCTCGTCCCAGTTAATCTAATCTGGTCTAATGTACATGCGCAGAACTTGCTGCAGGATCTTGTTCATCTGCTCGGTCTGACCGTTAGTTTCTAGATGGCGGCCAGACGACATCAACAACTTTGATCCATAAACTCTCATGAGTTCCTGCCAATTTTGGCTGGTGAAGCGACTATCTCTATCGCTAACTATGGACAACGGGACTCCATGCTCACTAACCCAAAAATCGAAAAACTTCTGAATCACTAACTCTGTGCGTGCCTCTGCAGGCAAAGGAACAAAAATAGCATACTTGCTAAATCTGTCAACTACAACTATGACTTGGCTCTTTCCGTGTCTACTCTTGACATCGGCATCCATAAAGTCAATGGAGACTGAATGTCCAGGCTGGTCTGGGATAGGCAAGGGTCTGAGAAGACCTAGAGGGGCACGCATTGTGGTCTTATTCCTCTGACGGACTTTACAACTGCGGACATACTCTATGCAGTCATTCTTCATTTCTGGCCATGTATACGCGTGGATAAGGTTGGCTAATGTCTGCTGCCAAACGAAGTGTCCCTCTGTATCATGGCATTCCCCTAGGATCAGACTGCGGATTTCCTCATTGTTGGGAATGCATAGGCGGTCGAATACATTAGTCTTCTCAAATAGCAAACCCTCTGTAGTACGGTTATCTGGCTCAGTCTGTGGGGCCTCCTTAACTTTCTTGAGGAGGTCGCTATAGATGGGGTCATGTGCATACGCCTGTCTAACTTTCTCTTGCAGGTCACTCCCTATGTCCAGATAGTGAACTATGGCTCCAAAGTAGTCCGATCTCCTACTCGGAGCATCCGCAACTACATTGTACTTGCCCCTTACTGGCTTGAGCTCAAAGTCATACTGGTCTATCTCAGCGGCCCACCTAGTCAACTTAGGTGTCATCTTTGCCTGTCTTCAGCCATCGAAGGGTCTCATGGTCTGAATACACTTTGAAGTGCCTCCCAAGCAGGTAATGCTTCCAGTGCTCTAAGGCCTGCCTGAGAGTGTAGAGTTCTCTCTCATACGTCGAGGTAGCAACCTTCTCTGAGGGCATCCTCGATGACATGAACTCTACGGGTTTGTAGCCATTGCCATCGTCCCGCTGCAACACGACACCTATTCCATATTGACTCGCGTCCGTGGTGACGACAAATGGCAAAGACGGATCTGCTACTTTGAGGACAGGGTACTCCATCAACACACGCTTTAATTTCTTTAGCGCAGACGTACAGTCCTTATCCCATTGCCAGATTGCCTCTTTCTTGAGCAACCTGCGCAAGGGAGCGGCAATAGTGGAGAAGTTCCTCACGAACTTCCTGTAGTAATTAGCTAAGCCCACAAACGACCGCAACTCTGTCAATGTGCGGGGCGTCGGCCAGTCTCTAATTGCTGCGATTTTGATGTCCTCTGGCTTAATGCCATCTCCGTCTAACACGTGGCCCAAGTACAGGACTTGTGTCTTGGCCCACTCACGCTTCTTTGCATTGATCTTGAAGTTAGCTTCTCTCAGCTTCTCCAAGACCTGCCTCAGATGACCCTGGTGCTCCTGGAGGGTCCTATTGAATACTAGGATGTCGTCTAAGTAAACTATGGCGAACCTATCCAACCAAGGTCTAAACAGATCATTCATACAACGCTGAAACGTAGCTGGCGCATTGGTCAGTCCAAAGGGCATCACTATAAACTCATAATGCCCATAACGAGTCCGGAACACAGTCTTGTACTGGTCATCAGGATGGACTTCTATCTGATGGTAACCGGACTTCAAATCTATCTTGGAGAAATACTTACAACCCTGCACCCGATCTAAGAGATCGTCTATCCTGGGCAGTGGTTCAACATTCTTGACTGTGATAGCATTCAGACCCCTATAATCTATACACATGCGCAACTCTCCTTCCTTTTTGGGGACAAACAAAACAGGTGCTCCAAAAGGAGACGAACTGGGCCTGATCCAACCTTTCTCAAGGAGTTCGTCTAACTGCTTGCACGGCTCCTCTAACTCTCTAGGGGACATCCTGTAGACTGCTCCCTTAGGAGTCCTGCTGCCAGGCTCTATCTCTATCCTGTGCTGGATCGGCCGCGACACTATTCCTGTCGGCAACTCAGATAAGTCTTTGAACTCTTCCAGCAGCTTGGCTATGGTTGGATCTGTGGAACTCACCTCTTCCTTGGCCTCAGTGACAGGTCTAACATAAACTACAAAGACCTGATCCTCTAACTGCTCTTTTTTCACCAATCGCGCGAACGCGGGAGCACTGAGACAGCAATGTGCCAGCGAGTTGTCCACTCCTGACACATGGAACAGACGAGTTGTCTTAACCTCGCCTGACGGACTAGGGAGCCTACACTCGTGTTCTCCCAAGTGGAGTGTGGCCCCTGCTGCCTCCCCAGTCCATGCCTAGAACTATGTCAAAAGGAAGGTCATCCTGAACGAGGAGAGTCAGGGAATGGAAAACTTTTTCCACCTTCCCATTTTTCTCTAGGCGAAAGTACGCCTGGACTCCCTCTACGTAGTCCTCGACACGCATAGTGCGGTTGTTTGCGAGGACACTAACTATGGGGTCTTCCAATTTCTGGACTTTCAATCCTAGCCTCAGCTTCTTCAGCGCCCTACGGCTGATATAGCTACGGGTAGCCCATGAGTCTATAAGGGCCCCAACTCTACTCCTGAAAACCTCTACATCTACTAGTACTAGCTGCCCTTTGCTATCTTTCTTTATCTTAGCCCAGGCAGGCATCCTTTCCTTCAATTCCTTTGCCACGCCTGTGTGGGACGTGCCTAGAGAGACGCTGACACACACAGTCTCTGGACAGCTAACTAGGTACGGGCCTGCAACCTCTGCCGAAGGCTCATGTAGTGTGGGAGTTTCCTCTATGCGCGCGCTCGCTTCCCCACATGGCCTAGAAGTAGGGGCAGTTGCAACCCCTACCGGCGGCTGCCTTTTGACTCTTTGGCAGCCCACCGGGCCTGTCTATACTTGGGACAGTATTTAATCATATGGGCAGGGTCACTACAGTAAATGCACTACCCCTGCTCCATTCGCTGCTGCCAAATTTTCTGGTCCAGGCCCAGATCTTCCCATGGCCGGCCTTGTGGCCAGCCTGGGTGCCAACCTCCTGATCTTTGAGGTGACCTGCCACCTCGTTGCTGCGGGGACCGACTGGGACCTTGACGATTCGGCGGGGGACCTTGACCCCTACCTCTCGCTTGACGGTTCCCTTGACCGCCAACCCCCTGTGCGCCCGATCCTCGGCCTCCCATGGCCTGGCCCCTTTGGCCCTGGCCTCCTCCCCTACCTTGCGGCCTCCCTCCAGCCGCGACAACAGCATAGGACCTCCCCTGTCCCACGCAACTGTCCTCCTCCTCGAGGCCCCACTCAATTTGACTGTACGGGACCTCGTCAGTATCACCTTCCTCCAATGTAAGGATCATGTCATCCTTGACCCTGAAATGGTACGACCTTTCCACTTTTTACCCTTGTCTAAGTCCTTATGCCAGAAAGTGGAAACTGGCATTGACTTTGCTTCGAACAACACCACTTCTCTACTCAGTACATCATACGTCATAGTGGGCTGTTGGGATTTGTCAAAGAAATGCCCTCGTAAGGGCTCTGGCATGGTGCGAGAGAAGAGTTGGACCAGTTGCGACTCAGTCACCCCATGGTCCGGGACGGCCACCAGGTCGTCCATAACGGCCTTGAGTGCCTTGGCACTCCTCCACTGCCGTGAGTGGATGGTTTGGAGTTTGTCAGAGGCTCTTACACCCCTGCGAAGATCAGTGAATCGCTCTCTGAGGAGCTTGAAGAATTGAGGAAGGGGGGTGACCTTGGAATAAGCGACCATGTTGTTTTCGCAATCGGCCGCGCACGTGAGGGACCTAGCAAAACTAGCTGCTTCCTCCTTGAGGGTTTGGAAGGCTACAAGGACCTGGTCGTCCTGTACAATATGCTGTAAGTAAACATAGTTGTTTATGCTAGCCTCTCAGTTATCGAAATTCTCCTCAGGCTTCCCGCCGTACGCGTCTGGGAACTTAAGCTTAACTGGTTCCTTGCGGGGTCTGGCCTCACTCTCGACGGTGGCTACGGCTTTGGCATCCTCGATGGCGCCTTCACAAAACTTCCCCACATTATCTCTTAACCGCCTGACTTTGGCCCCAACGTGGGTAACCATATCGCACGCAAACTCTCGAAACCCTGACCACATGGCACTCAGGGCCACATCGTGACCCGAACTGGCTTGGCGTTCCTCTAGCCAAGCCTCACTCAACACCTCCAAGTACCCCAACATCTTGTCCATTTTGGCAGTAACATCTGCCTGCGCCTGAACTCCTTGCCTAAAGGCTCTCACCTTCTCCACCTCTGTGGTCAACCGATTAACTTCCTCCCTCCTTCTCTTTTTCTCCCTCTTCATTCTAAACTTCCACTCCAACTTTTTCTCCTCCTCTGCCTCCTGTCGTTCTAGGGGGTCCTCAATCGTTGCTAGTGCCTTGGCAAACACCTCCTTCTCCTCCTGTGGCACATACAACTGTGCCTCTTCATCTTCCCCGAACGACAAATTGGCTATCCACTCGTTGATTTTCTTTTCCATCTCTGCATCCTCATTCTTCGTGCCACTACTCTCCCCTTTTTCTTCCCTGCGCCTTCTCTCTTCTGCTTCCTCTGCTGCCGCTTCTTCCTCAGCAGCCTTCTTCTTCTCCTCCATCTCCTCCTCCAACTTCTTCATCTTCGCCGCCTGCTCCTCTGCGATTGCTTTCAATTTCGCCTGCTTCAGGAGCTCTTTCCTCTCTCTATTCTCTTTCACTAAGGAGGCCATCTGCTCTTGTTGAGCCTGGGTATAGGGGCTAGTACTTCTCCCACTACGGGTGTCAACCATGGTGATTAGTGCACAACCGGGTTAACGGTCCCAAACCTTACCACTTAGACTCTAACCCCTGAGTGAAAAACTTACCGACTCAATCTAAAGACTCACAGAATCCGGACAGGGATCCTGTCAACTAGGGTCTCTAGCCTAGACCTACTCTAAGAATCCGGACAGGGATCCTGTCAACTAGGGTCTCTAGCCTAGACCTACTCTAAGGCTATCACTACTAGACCGGTTGCTGATCAGGAGGCATTTAAGGAGATCCCTCGTAACTCCTCAGGAATTATTTAACGTCGCAAACAGGACGACGCGATCAGCAGGTCTCTCAACACTTAGACTGCCTGTTGTGCAGCCCACAGCTCAACTTTTCGGGCCTACCGTGCCACACCGAGCAGCCCGCCGGTCTGTACCGGTCCTTGGGAGGGTTTGTGTCCCCCGGGACAGTCGAGTCGTCAGACACAGTCTTTAGCCCTACTTAGTTCGGCAGGGGTTTGGTCAACGAGGCCCTATCCTTCATCCACAGAGTTCCTACACCTAGACAGAAGAGACTCAATGCAGAAAGAAGAGACAGACCGGCTTGACCCAGCAAAGTACCACAGGGTGTTTGCACATCCATAGGACCATAGGGCGAGGGATAGGCTTAAGGTTTCGCGAGATTATACCGGCGCCAGCTTGGTCAAAATCGTGGTCAACGGTCTTGGTCAACGCCTTGGTCAACGCTCAGTCAATGCTGCAGTCAGCCTCCGGTCAGCTTTGGTCAACGTCGGTCAACACCTCCAGTCAACTCCCGGTCAACGCCCAGTCAACGTTTGGTCAACTCTCCCGGTCAACTCCGCTGGTCAGCTATGGCTGTCGGCTTCTCCTTCCTCACCACCCTTCTCCTTCCTTTCTCCTTCCTCGCCACCTTTCTCTTCACCCCGACGTCTCTCCCTTCGCCTCCTCGGCTATGGCTTCTCTCTCCCTTCTCAGCCTCACCGTCTGTCCACATCCTCCTTCTTCGTCACTCCGTGGTACAAGCTTCGCGGCTATGGCCGCTTCCTTCCTCCTCGTGGAACTGCACAGCGCACTTCACAGGTAAGTGACAACCAAACTTGTATCGCTCATCTCTCTCCTCTCTCTCTCTCTCTCTCTCTCCTCTCTCTCACCGTAGCGATGTCTTCAACGCAGAAACGTGGTAAGCCAATCTTGTATCGCTCAACCTTTCTCTCTCCCTCTCTCTCTCTCTCTCTCTTCCTCTCTCGGGCTTCTTCTTCTTCGTGGTCTTCTCTGCAGGTACGCGCGGCGGCTTCTTCAACCTCGGTGTCCGCTATGGCGGACTTCTTCTTCGTCGACTACCTCAGCTATGGCGCATCACTCCCTGCGACACACAACGCGGCGCGTGGGACAGCGGGTACCTGCTCCAATACCAATGCAATCAGACTCGCTTTCATTCACTCTTCTCATGCATGCAAACAGGTGCGCAGCAAACTGGCGACAAGCGCCCACTCAGAACTCAGACATATGGTAGTCGAGAACACAGTTCAGATTCAAGTTCACTTCGATGGCTATGGCGACTCAGCACCCACACAACTCTTTGTTCGCATACACAGGATCACCTTGGATATCCCACACGCGATACTCTGAACTCACACAAACACATACACTGAACTCTACCTACAGCTATGGCGGCTATGCCTGCTACTACCCTATCGCTATGGCTACACTTCGTCTCTCTCGCCCACTTCGTCCTCGGGCTCACTGCAGACCTCCTTGCACAAGTCGCTGTGGCAGCGCTTCCGCATGGCTCACGCAGGAATGAATGAATGGCTGGGCGCTGCCTCTTGATTTATACTTCTGCAGCTCGTTGGTCTGGCCCTTTCCCATGCCCGAAGTGCATACAGTTCCATGCGGTACTTGCTTGACTGGACCAGATTGCCTAGGACCGGGACTGCTGACTCAGCACGGGCAGACTCCACCACTTGCCTCACCACTTGCCCACTTGCCTCAGTCTAATGTAGGCAACTTCGAAAGGCCACTGCTGGGACCTTCCGGAAGGCCGTAGACTTGGCCTTTCGTGACTGTAGCAGCTACGACTTGACCCTTCTGGACTGTAGCAGCTACGACCTTGACCTTTCGAGAAAACTACAGCTACGACTTCTAGACCTGACTAAGACTCCTACTCGACAGGTCTACAGATTAAACCCCTGCTACCTATAGACACTACGACGACGTACCAACTGTTACAAATACACAGGTCGCGGGTTCAACTCTAGGGGTCGACACAGATACTGTACACAGGTAAGGCAAGGACTAGGGATCGAGCCCTGGAATCTGCATCAGCTATTGCGAACTGGTGAATACCGTTTCACTCCAACCCCACCCCCTGTATACACACATACCCCTAAAATAAAAACAAATAAAAAAGGATTGACTGCATGTGTGTGTGTGTGCATATGTCGGTGTGTGTATGTGTGTGCGTGTATATATGTCTGGGTGGGGGTACTTCGTGATTTTTTTTTTTTTACTTTTTTTTGAATGTCACGCGCCCTAGGGTGGCGCACGAGACACGCATGCTGGCAGGGGGTGCGCATTTGATTTTTTCCCAGCCCCTGCCACGTGGCACGTTTGAACGCGGCCCACGATCGTTTGAACGTGGGCGTTCGAACGCGAAAGCGCGTTCACTGCGTTCAGACGGTCACATAGCAGGCCGCTTACCGGGACCGCAATGTGCAGCACTATGTGATCATCTCCACACATACTTAGTATTCTATGCACCACCAACTTCGCTGACGGATGACGAAGCTGCGGTGGGGGACATCCTTGCGTATGTTACCAAGGTGGCCCGCGAGTTTCGCACGCAGCAGTACAACGACAACAACGCACTGCTCCTTTATGTCTGCATCCAAGTTGGGCAAGCGTCCTATAGCGCTTTGCTGGATAGCGGCGCGACTCGCAATTTCATGAGTCAGTCCTTTATACAAAGGGTTGGCCTTGGCGCACAACTTCGAAGGAAGGCAAATCCTACAGCAGTCAAGTTGGCGGACAGTCGGACACAACAACTTCCATTGACGGCTACATCGAGGCCATACCAGTTTATTTCGCACCTCATGCATGCGAAACGGTGACGTTTGACGTCTTGGACACGGACTTCGACATCATTTTGGGGATACCTTGGCTTGCAAATGCAGATCACACGGTCAACTTCCATCAGCGGACACTTACTCTTCGTGAAGCCTTTGGCGCCAAGGTGCCACGTACTATTCCTCGTCCGCACCCTTTGATTCTGTGCCAAGTTGTGACGACCAAATCTTTTTGGGCCACTTGTGCCTACGAGCGGACCGACGAGATCGGCCTATGCTTTCTTCGAACCGTCGCGGTAACCGACTCTTCACCTACGGACTTCTCTTCAGACCCTTGTGTGGTGCGGTTGCTTGACGAGTTCATCGACATCTTTGAGTCTCCTACCGGTGTGGTGCCGGATCAGCCGATCTCGCATGAGATCATTATGGAGGCCGGTGGCATGCTGCCGAAGGGATGCATCTATCACACGAGCGAGGCAGAGCTCGCGGTTCTCCGCACGCAACTTGACGACTTGTTGGAGAAGGGCTGTATCCGCCCTAGTAGCTCACCATATGGTGTGCCAGTTCTCTTTGTACGAAAGAAGAATAAGGATCTTCATTTGTGTATCGACTACGGCAAGCTCAACGCACAAACCGTCAAGAATGCAGGGCCTCTTCCTCGTATCGACGATCTTCTTGAGCGTTTGGACGACGCAATTTTTTTTCAAAGTTGGATTTGAAGTTGGGCTATCATCAGATTTCGATATGCCCGCACGATCGCTACAAATCCGCGTTCAAGATGCGATACAAGCATTTTGAGTGGGTGGTCAAGCCTTCTGGCCTCACCAATGCCCCGTCGACTTTTCAAGCGGCAATGACCAACGAGTTCGACGCGATGTTGGACCGGTTTGTGTTGGTCTACTTGGATGACATTCTCGTCTATAGTCGGACCTTGGAGGACCATCTCGAGCATCTTCGACCTGTGTTGGAGACGCTCCGCTGCGCCAAGTACAAAGCCAACCGTGACAAGTGCAAATTCGTACAACAAGAGTTGAGTACTTGGGCCATTTCGTCACATCGGAGGGCACATCAATCCATTATCGAACAAAATTCAAGCCGTCCAAGAGAGGCTGGAGTTGCAAAACGTTACAGATGTCAGTTCGTTTCTCGGCCTTGTTGAGGGGCCCCCACGCCGCGTTTCAGGAGCCCGACGGTTGTTGAGGGCCCCCCAGGCCGCGTGCCCTTCAGACACGCGCCCTGGAGGCCCACGACAGCCCTTAGGCCGCATGTACGGATTTGCGATAGCATTTATTTATTTATTTGTTGCTGTCCTATTTTTGTCTGTTCAGACATCGCTTCGGATTTGCAATCCCCAAGGCTATGCCTTGGGCTGGGTACTCCAGGAGGTAGGGTCGTTCGGGACCAGGCGCATTTTGGCGCCCTGCTGCATCAGCAGGACAGTCTGGACACCCGGCAGGGGCCCAGACCGTGTGGGTCGTTTCAGGCCAACGCAGGAGGCACACCCAGCCGGCACAACGTTACTTATAGCTGGGCTACGGCTGGGCACACACACAGTTAGAGTAGCTCATTTCTTGGGCGACACGCTGCTGGAGCAGCACTGGGACTACAACGCTACAATAGAGGTAGATGCGTAGGTAGGCAGAGGGAGGCCATACCTGCAGCGGCGGACTTACCTGACGCCATGGCTAGGACTCCGCGCGGCAACCTGCACATGACGACGATGACAATGGTCAGTCCAGGCGGCAGTTACCCGCAGGTGAGACCGAGAGGAGGACAACATCTTCTTCTTCTTCTTCTAGCAGTGAGGTCGTACATTGTATGGTGGCTAGGTCTACACACCCTGGTTGGGTGCGCGTGTGCGACTGGGTACACCGGTGTTAGCCCGAATACCCTTACAAGGGTATTTGGGCGTTTTTTTTTGCAGCTTACAGGAAGTATGTTCTTTGACGACATCTAGGAGCGTGCCT